GGACTCTGTGTGCACAGCTTTTTTTTAAAAAAAATTAAAGATTTATTTTGGGCTTTTGGTGCCTTTAATGCAGAGAGAGGACAGTGGATAGAGTCAGAAACCAGAGAGAGAGAGAGGACAGTGGATAGAGTCTGAAACCAGAGAGAGAGAGGACAGTGGATAGAGTCAGAAACCAGAGAGAGAGAGAGGACAGTGGATAGAGTCTGAAACCAGAGAGAGAGAGGACAGTGGATAGAGTCTGAAACCAGAGAGAGAGAGAGAGGACAGTGGATAGAGTCTGAAACCAGAGAGAGAGAGGACAGTGGATAGAGTCTGAAACCGGAGAGAGAGAGGACAGTGGATAGAGTCTGAAACCAGAGAGAGAGAGGACAGTGGATAGAGTCTGAAACCAGAGAGAGAGAGGACAGTGGATAGAGTCTGAAACCAGAGAGAGAGAGGACAGTGGATAGAGTCTGAAACCAGAGAGAGAGAGAGGACAGTGGATAGAGTCTGAAACCAGAGAGAGAGAGAGGACAGTGGATAGAGTCAGAAACCAGAGAGAGAGGACAGTGGATAGAGTCAGAAACCAGAGAGAGAGAGAGGACAGTGGATAGAGTCTGAAACCAGAGAGAGAGAGAGAGGACAGTGGATAGAGTCTGAAACCAGAGAGAGAGAGAGAGGACAGTGGATAGAGTCAGAAACCAGAGAGAGAGAGGACAGTGGATAGAGTCAGAAACCAGAGAGAGAGAGGACAGTGGATAGAGTCAGAAACCAGAGAGAGAGAGAGGACAGTGGATAGAGTCAGAAACCAGAGAGAGAGAGAGGACAGTGGATAGAGTCAGAAACCAGAGAGAGAGAGTGGACAGTGGATAGAGTCTGAAACCAGAGAGAGAGAGGACAGTGGATAGAGTCTGAAACCAGAGAGAGAGAGAGGACAGTGGATAGAGTCAGAAACCAGAGAGAGAGAGGACAGTGGATAGAGTCAGAAACCAGAGAGAGAGAGGACAGTGGATAGAGTCAGAAACCAGAGAGAGAGAGGACAGTGGATAGAGTCTGAAACCAGAGAGAGAGAGGACAGTGGATAGAGTCAGAAACCAGAGAGAGAGAGGACAGTGGATAGAGTCAGAAACCAGAGAGAGAGAGAGGACAGTGGATAGAGTCTGAAACCAGAGAGAGAGAGAGGACAGTGGATAGAGTCTGAAACCAGAGAGAGAGAGAGGACAGTGGATAGAGTCAGAAACCAGAGAGAGAGAGGACAGTGGATAGAGTCTGAAACCAGAGAGAGAGAGGACAGTGGATAGAGTCAGAAACCAGAGAGAGAGAGGACAGTGGATAGAGTCTGAAACCAGAGAGAGAGAGAGGACAGTGGATAGAGTCAGAAACCAGAGAGAGAGAGGACAGTGGATAGAGTCAGAAACCAGAGAGAGAGAGAGGACAGTGGATAGAGTCTGAAACCAGAGAGAGAGAGAGGACAGTGGATAGAGTCAGAAACCAGAGAGAGAGAGAGGACAGTGGATAGAGTCTGAAACCAGAGAGAGAGGACAGTGGATAGAGTCTGAAACCAGAGCGAGAGAGAGAGGACAGTGGATAGAGTCTGAAACCAGAGAGAGAGAGAGGACAGTGGATAGAGTCTGAAACCAGAGAGAGAGAGGACAGTGGATAGAGTCTGAAACCAAAGAGAGAGAGAGGACAGTGGATAGAGTCTGAAACCAGAGAGAGAGAGAGGACAGTGGATAGAGTCAGAAACCAGAGAGAGAGGACAGTGGATAGAGTCAGAAACCAGAGAGAGAGAGAGGACAGTGGATAGAGTCTGAAACCAGAGAGAGAGAGAGGACAGTGGATAGAGTCTGAAACCAGAGAGAGAGAGAGGACAGTGGATAGAGTCAGAAACCAGAGAGAGAGAGAGGACAGTGGATAGAGTCTGAAACCAGAGAGAGAGAGGACAGTGGATAGAGTCAGAAACCAGAGAGAGAGAGGACAGTGGATAGAGTCTGAAACCAGAGAGAGAGAGAGGACAGTGGATAGAGTCAGAAACCAGAGAGAGAGAGAGAGGACAGTGGATAGAGTCTGAAACCAGAGAGAGAGAGGACAGTGGATAGAGTCAGAAACCAGAGAGAGAGAGAGGACAGTGGATAGAGTCAGAAACCAGAGAGAGAGAGGACAGTGGATAGAGTCAGAAACCAGAGAGAGAGAGAGGACAGTGGATAGAGTCAGAAACCAGAGAGAGAGAGGGACAGTGGATAGAGTCAGAAACCAGAGAGAGAGAGAGAGGACAGTGGATAGAGTCAGAAACCAGAGAGAGAGGACAGTGGATAGAGTCTGAAACCAGAGAGAGAGGGACAGTGGATAGAGTCTGAAACCAGAGAGAGAGAGGACAGTGGATAGAGTCAGAAACCAGAGAGAGAGAGAGGACAGTGGATAGAGTCAGAAACCAGAGAGAGAGAGGACAGTGGATAGAGTCTGAAACCAGAGAGAGAGAGAGGACAGTGGATAGAGTCAGAAACCAGAGAGAGAGGACAGTGGATAGAGTCTGAAACCAGAGAGAGAGAGAGAGGACAGTGGATAGAGTCAGAAACCAGAGAGAGAGAGAGGACAGTGGATAGAGTCAGAAACCAGAGAGAGAGAGAGGACAGTGGATAGAGTCTGAAACCAGAGAGAGAGAGAGGACAGTGGATAGAGTCAGAAACCAGAGAGAGAGAGCGGGGAATGACATGCGGAAAGGGGCCACGGGTGGAAGTGAACCCGGGCCTACCGCTCGAGACGAGAGTCTCAACACATGGGACGCGCGCCCTAACCACTGCGCCACCAGCGCGCCCCAGGTGTGCACAGCTTTTGTGTGAAGCGTTTGTTTTTTGGGATTACGGAACCAAAAGACGCATCAGAAAAACACAGACGCAGTGTGCAAAGTCTGATCACTGTCCACCTGTTTCTTTATTCTGATCTATTGTTTCATTTTATATTTTTAGTTGGACTGTCTTGCTCTTTGTTTCTTTGCTTTTCAACTCGGGGACCAATAAAGTTTTTTGACTTGAATTGAGTGAACGTGCACCGTCCCTGATTTTAAAATAAAAAAATGATAAAAAACTTTACGAGCGTGGTTAATAGATGGTGGTTAGAGAGGATCCTCTGGAACGTCCTGAAGGTTTAACGAGAGACAGAGCGTGCAGAATTTGACATTATGAATCTGAC